GAACTGTCCTGAGCGCGTCCTCGACAGCCGGCGCTTGACGCGTCTTCTTCTTATTGACTTATAAGACTTATAGACTTATAAGTGCATTACCGCCACCTATCTCTCAAATGAACTATTGACACTCTATCTACAATCTCAATTAGGAGTGTCAATGGTCCATTTGAGAGATAGGTGGCGGTAATGCACTTATAAGTCTGAGATCCGCCATAAAGCAAGAAGAAGAAGAAGACGTGAACACGCTCAGGACAGTTCGGACATTGCCAATTTGCGGTGAATCAGAGGTAAAAAACGATATAAATACTGTTCAGTTTCTTGCATAGACCAATCGTTTCGTGTCTTTACACGTCAATGTATCATCACGAGCCGCAGGGTTTAATTTGGTTTTGTTTGTGTATGTTTTTTTTACTCTTAAAGCCGTGATTTCCATTCACTTCCATTATATGACTGACAGACTGCAACGGTTTGAGTTAAAAATCTTCGTTTGTGCTCTACTGAAGAAACAAAGTCACCTACATCTTGGATGCCCTGGGGGTAAGCAGATAAAAATCTAATTTTCATTTTTAGGTGAACTATCCCTTTAACATGGTTTAACACAAGGTCTTAATTGTCTTGTTGCTTTTACCAGTCATGAAACAGAAAACAGACATTTAAATTGTCAACTATCATGTAAAAAAATTATAGCATTCCTTTATTTATTTTCATAATATGACAAATTTATTTAGGGATTTTTTTCTGCATTTATTTGTGCATTAAATTGCAGCTATAAAGTGACCACTTTATAATTAAATTGTATTTGCACTACTGTTCAAACGATTGGGTCGGTAAGACAGGAAAAAAAAAACAATAAAGACAGTGATATCGTAAAATAAATATTATTAGAATTTAAAATAACTGTTTTTAATTTAATATATTTTAAAATGTAATTTATCCCTGCGACGGCAAAGCTGAATTTACTCCAGTCTTCAGTGCCACATGATCTTTTAAAAATCATTCTGATTTAGTGCTCAATTTCTTATTATCGTCAATGTCGAAAGCAGCTGTGCTTCTTAATATATATATATATATTTATTTATTTTTTTTTTTTAAATTAATTAATTAATTAATTAATTTTTTATTCATCAAGGATGCAATAAATTCATCAAGTGACAGAAAAGACATTTATAATGATAGAAAATATTTTTATTTTTATTAAATGCTGTTCTTTTGAGCTTGAAGAATCCTGAAAAGAATGTATTAATTTCCACAAGTATATTAAGCAGCACAACTGTTTTCTACATTAATAATAAGAAATGTTTTTTGAGCAGCAAATCAGCATATTAGAATGATTTCTAATATGCTGAAAGATAATGACTGCTGCATTTTTTTTTTTAATTGTAATAATATTTCACAATATTACAGTTTTAATGACCCCAAACTTTTGAATGGTAGGGTATAAACTTGTGTTGCTTCTTCCTAGATGGTGGTCCTCGCCCAGCTGGTTGGCGGGAACACTCTGGTCCAGGTGAAGTTCGCCGCAAGAAGTTTGACTTCGACTTCCGGGATGGAGGGAATGAGGGAGGCAGAAGGAGAGCAGGCAGCGAAGGAGCAGAGGATGAGAGAGATGGTCTGCCAGAGTGGTGCACAGATGAGGAAGATGGAGAAATGGGAACCTTTGATTCTTCTGGAGCGTTTATGTCTATTAAGGTGAGACCATAAGATCTAGTCTCTAATGACTTCTTATCTATGGTTTTCTTTTCTTTAAATTTTTTCCCCTCTTCTATTATCTTAGAAGTGCCCGAAAGACCCCATTCCAGAATTCTTCAGTAGAACACAAACGAAGATTTTTAACTCAAACCGTTGCAGTCTGTCAGTCATTTTAGTGTCAGGGTTTAATTTGGTTTTGTTTGTGTATGTTTTTTTTACTCTTAAAGCCGTGATTTCCATTCACTTCCATTATATGACTGACAGACTGCAACGGTTTGAGTTAAAAATCTTCGTTTGTGTTCTACTGAAGAAACAAAGTCACCTACATCTCGGATGCCCTGGGGGTAAGCAGATAAACATAAAATTTGGGTGAACTATCCCTTTAAGAACCCATCAGCCTGCGCCATCTAGAGTTTCATGAAAGAACTAGGCATTTCTTCTAAATGTCTTCTTTTGTGTTCCAGCAAAAGAAAGAAAAACACAAATTTGGAACAAAATGATAATTGGTATTTAGATATAATTTAGCAAGTTTATTTACACTTTTTTGAGATGGACCCCACATTGCAGGGGATTTCATGTTGTACCACATTTGCAAGGACATCAGGCCACCACAATGCATGAAATACATGACCCACACACCCAAACTCAAAAATACACTCACTGCATCCCTCATTTTGTGTCCAGTTTGGGGTAATGTCATAAAATATTAATAACACCAGTCAGTGTGTTAAAAATCACGACGGGCTGACATACAGTAGCACTGTGACAGGCAGTGGGACAGAGTCTGTGCAGAGGAGGCAGCTTCCTTCTCACTCACTGATGGAGTTTCATTGGCGCCTGCTCTCAGATCACTTAATGCATCCGTCTAATAACCTTTTAATGTCTGTATTATGGCAGTCATTTAATATTTGCTCTCGGAAAGATGCGCATGTAGATCAGCAATGACTGTAATGATGATAATGATAATCATGTGCTCATAATCCACTATCTTAAAGCATTGCACTACTGTGCTCACCGGTGGTTAAAATGAAGAGCTTTTAGCCATTATGGCTACATAAAAAAATAACTGCTTGCAATTCTGCTAATGCAATTTCTTAATTCCATGCATGTGCAATTTAATTTCCCCGCATTTTGTTGACATTGCTTTTTCTTATTTTTTCCCCCTTGTCTTTTTCCATCTTTGCAAGTGGGTCTAAAATGTAGGCCATTTGCATGAGTTATGCTAATTTGTTAGGGCAACGAATGCATTAATTTCATTAGCAAATGGCCTCAAAGCAGTAATTACCAGAGTAGGTGTGTCACAAGCAATCATGTTAAATTTTGCCAGTTAATTATTAAGATTTTGTTAGCAGAGACCTAGATTTGACATGAGTAGCCGAAGGAGAGACAGAGAGAGAGAAAGAAGAAGGGAAGAAAGTTAATGTTCTCCAGCAGCTAAGGTAAGGTGCGTGTTGTTGTGTTGAAGGGAGGAGGGAGTTGGCAGGAGGAAGGGTGGTAGGCTTGGGTTGGTTTGCATGTTGACAGCTTACATTCTGGACTAATTACCGCAAATAGCACAGGGCTAGCTGGTACTCAGTGAATCCAGAGGGGTATAATTATAAGAGAAAGGAGGGCAGGGGCTACTGAAGCGGTCTCTGCTCCCATTGATTGGAGTCCACTTGAGGAGGAGGGGAAATGCTTCTCTTTAGCTGTCATTGCCGTGTACTTTGGCCAGTGAAGACTGGGGAAAACATTCTGATTATTGAGTTCTTATAGACAAACAGCAAGGGCTGTAGGTTTACAGCAAATACTATAAGTAAAAAGGCCGTAAAAAAGTTGTTATAAACTAGATAAATTAATTTATTTGTATTATTATTATTATTACTATTATTATTTAAATGTAAAACGTAAATGGTAGACGTAAACGTAAAAGAACTAGACACACTGTGGCAAGTCATATTTTAAGATATAAAGTTGCAATTATGATGAATACAGTTTTAAGATAAAATCTTAAGAAATAAAGTCACCTTTTATTATTATTATTATAATATAAAACTTAAAAGGTTAAAAACTAATCACACTGTGGCAAGTCATATTTTAAGATATAAAGTTGAAATTCTGAGAAATAATGTTTCAATTATGATAAATAAAGTTTTAAGATAAAATCTTTAAAGAAATAAGTCACCTTTTATTTGTATTATTATTATTATTATTATTATTTATTTATTTATTTTTTTAATTATTATTTTTTTTTACAGCAAAGGTCATCCATAGATTTATTCTTAAAAACAAAAACAACAAACAATACCAATTGTTCAAGATATGTTGTCTGAGGGAGAGTCTTAATATCACAAGCAATTTGTGTGTGTGTGTGTTTAATGAATAAAGAACATTATTTATTTATTTACTGGAAAACAAGACACAAATAACGATTAATGAATCATTTTCTAGTGTTCCTCATATTTTATATATCAAAAAAAGACCGTGAAGTGACTTATCAAGTGTCAGCCATTTGATTATCGCTGAACAACTTAGTAAATAATATTCTCTGTCAGCTCAATACTTGCGCTTTTGACGTTCCTCAGGACTGTGTCTTCATCATCTTGGCGGCTTTCTTTGAATAAGAGGTTGGCACCTAGACTCATCCTCTTCCACTCAAGGTGTAAATCTCCAGGTCTTCCACTAAAACTCTCTTTAGGGTTAATTCCTCTAGTTCTTATCCACTGACACCCTTTAAAACTTTTCCCTCCTTCCGTCCCTCAAGTGTCTTCTTAAAAGTGAGCACGCTTTTCTCTCATCCACTTTTGGGGGAAAAAATGTTAATCATTACTTGAATTCAGATGGAAAGGAGCTTATCCTGGCATGTGGCTGCTTGCCTCGTCATTTAACTAAAAGCAGTAGGCTATGTGATGTTTCTACAATGAGTCTGTGCAAT